AATGCCCTCTTAACATTGATGCCCATTATTTACTGCATAACATCAATACCTGACTCTTGACAACATTGTCATCTCTCTCGATGATTGATAAATGACATCAATGCTCGACTCTCAACATCCTAATATTAATCATTTTAAGCACAAATTCTAGTTAAACGACTTATTATTTCTAAATTACTTTTAAAAATATACTTATTCAATATTTATACACTTTTTAAAATATTAAAATTATAATATTGTGTCCAACTCGTGTCTATGTCTTTATTTTCAATAATTGACGTCTAGTGTTCATGTCGTGCCATATCCGTGTCGCCGTGTCCGTGTCTGTGCATCATAGTTTTGGGTAGATTAAAGGCACTATCAATTGGAGTTGTGGAAATTTGTAGTGTTGGCAATAGATCTACTGCACGAAAGGTGCCTTGGACATGGATATGGGAATGGAAATGATTTGAGTAGAGATTGGAGGTTTAGCTTCAATAGTTGAAAAAACCAAAGGCATGATCCTTGACAGAGATGTGTAATTTGCTCAAAGGAGCAGCTAACGGTGCTAAAGAAATGTGAGACTTGTGATTTCTTGAATAGCATGTCATAGATGTAACTGTGGAGTCGACTTACGGCATAAATGTGATTGTGGGGTTGACGTAAGGTGAAGATGAGAGTGCGTGGTTGTTGGAAGGTGGTGTGAGTGTGGATCTAGTAGTTATGATGAAGAAGAATGGCGAATGTTGCATGATGAGTGATGCAGGATGGAGTCATGGTTTGAGATGTTTGGAATTGGTGTTGGTGGCTGAAGAGAATCTCAACTAGAGCACCAATGTTTGGATCCTTGAACTTGATTGAATATTTAGATCTGTTCAAAACTCCTGAAGAAAGAAAAAAAGAGCATTGATGCTAGGGAAAGAACTCGATTCCATTTCATATCCTCATCTTCTCTTCACAAGAGATATTTATAGAATATCCCAGCAACTAACCATCCTTATTAGATACTAATTGCAATAATGGTTTAGATATTAATAACAGTTTATATATTACTAACTAATTACAATTTTATGTTGTTGGTTCACACACTTGAGCCATTCTATAAATTATCATCTCATCCATGTGTCCAAATTAAGATATGTAATGATGCAAGTATAGTTCTCATATTTCAATTGATACTCAAACTATATGCTGTAGCATTTCTTTTAACTGAAGAATCAGACACCATAATAAAGGGAAGCTTTGGACAATGTAGATCCAATTGAATTTTGTAATTTTGAACAATAACATACTATGGCTACATTTTACTTTTCAATGCGTTGATATCTACTCTCAGGATGCCATTTCTTGTGTTCTTTATCATGTTTCAGGTCTTACTAAAGAAGTTCATAGACCACTTTCAGGGTGAACTTCTTGAAACTATTGAGCTGAAGGTCCCTAGTGGTGATAAATGGCACGTTGAAATGAAGAAGACTGGTGATGGAGTTGTTCTTGATTGTGGTTGGACGAATTTTGTTGCAGCTTATAGTATTCTAGAAAATGACACTTTGGTGTTCAAGTATGATGGCCGTTCCTCCTTTATTGTGTTGATGTTTGAGCAAAGCGGCTGTGAGAAAGCTGCTTCTCATTGTGCAATGAGAAAGGATGGTATGGAAGAATTATGTGCAATAGCTTCTGGTAAAAAGGACAGACACCCCTGCTATGAAAGCTCTCCTAAAACTTATGAGCAACCAAAAAAATTAGCTATGTTTAAGAAGATTTTGAGAGCAAACAGAGATGCAAAAGAGAAGTATCTCAAGAGGAGAATGAATACAACAAGTACAAAAATAATTCTTAGATAGAAGAAGAACTTCACTGGTACAAGTGGAAAGAAATCCTTAAACGTTACGTTTGGTTTTATTTGAAATTTCCTCATGAAAGAACACGTGAATGCCATAGTCATACCACCTTTGTTGTATCTTGAACTCCTTGGTAATTCCTCTAGCTATCATATTTTGATTATCAGCTTTATTTTAGTTGTATTCTTCTCCGAAAGTTAAGCAAAGGAAAGGGTAACTGAACATCTTTAATCGCCAACCCCCTATTTTTGTGTCTTTCTTCTTTTATTTTTTTTCTCTTGAGCATTCAAAGGAGCCTAATACTCAAATATATTACTTAGGCTTCATTTGGGACTAATTTTTTACTGCTTCTTAAAGCACCTTTCGAGTACAAAAATTTTAACTTTTGTACTATAAAGATGTTTTAGGAAGCATTAAGAAAGTTGTCCCAAATGAAGCCTTATTTTAGTTAACTTCTGTTTATCTATTTTTAAATCAGTTTTGAAGGAAAATGGTTTTGGTTTTCTAGTTTTATTAATTGGATCATTTGATTGTTTAGAAAAAGAAAGTGAGATCATAGAAGGAACCATGAACCTCAGCAATGAAGTTTCTTTGGCTAAGCAGTGGAATCCCAAGGATTTCATCATTTCAAAAAAGCACGACTTACTGATGCCGAGAAGAATATAGTGCTCCACTTAGCTGAAACAATTCAAACAGATAGGCCTAATTTTGTGTCAATCATGGTGCCCAGCTGTATCAGCAAAAGATTTTATTTGGTAAGAACACATTTTATCTATGGATATTATTTTAACTTCTTAGTGATTCTTCCATTAAACATCAATATTCAATGTTCTTGCTACTAGAAGTGTGGGTAGTGCCTAAACTACCCAAAGACTTATTACAAAGTTCTGCTATATGTGAGAGATTAAGGCTTCGTTTGGGACAACTTTCTTACTACTGCGTAAAGCAGCTTTCTAGTATAAAAATTAAAAATTTTGTACTAGAAAGCTACTTAAAGAAGTAGTAAGAAAGCCGTCCCGATTGAAGTCTGATTTTTAACAAATAAATTCAGAACAGCAAGTTATCCTTCAAGTACTCTGCACAAGCAAATATCAAATCCAGTTTCAAATCTATTGTATGATAATTGATCAAGTACTCCGGTTGCGATGAGAATCTATAGTCTTTTGATCTAATTTTAACTATAATCGTTTCAGTATTTGGTTATGGCTTAAATCCGTTTGAATTGGAGGCTTAGTTTAACTGTTGGAATTGAAAAGAACATACCTTCAAAAATGAAGAATATATATTGCTCATCCTACCTACGTAAGTTTGATTTATTATGTTAGAATCATATTCAACACAGTTTTTTCCCCTGTTATAATCTTATGTGTGTGTTTACGCTTAATTCTATTAAATTATGCTTTAGCTAAAATCTTAGCTATGTATTTATAAAGAACATTGCACAGAGCAATAGGTTTAAAGTCAGAAATAGTAGAAGCATGCTTATGTTTAGGAATAAGAGCTAGAGCTATGGATTTTACCCCTCTCGGCATGTATCCTTTGGTAAAGAACAAGTAAACAGCTTTAATAAGCAAAGGACCAATGATATACCATCTAGATCTATTAAAGTAAAAATTGAATCCATCCGGGCCAGGGGAGGAAGTAGGAGAACCAGTGAACATAGCTTTCTTAATCTTATCAATGGAAACCGAAGCAGTAAGAGTGCAGATGAGGTGATCCGGAATATAAGCTCCTAAAGGAAAAATTGACATATCCA